AGCCTCCCTCCTGCTCTGTAACCCGGGGCTCTCCTGCCCTGCCAGCCCTCAGTTTCCTCCTCGGCACACTGAGAAGAACAGCTCTTTCGTGCTTATCCCGCAGGAGGAGTACAGACCCCGCACCCCCATGCTGGCTGCAGACATGTGACACTGGGGTCTTCCATGAACCCCGTCCTTCACGGGGCTGGGCACAGGAACCCACTGCCCTCAAAAGCCAGCCCTCCCCCACCCTGCCCCCTGAGTCCTCCCAAGCCACCCGCCCACTTGGGTGTGGTCCTGGCCCCTTAGAACCCTCAAACTTGGTCACAGAGGGCATTCTGGGCGGGGCATTCATGCTGCCTCCAGGTCCTCCTGAGAGCCACCAGAACAGCGGGGCCCTGTGTTACTGTAAAGAGAAGTCAGCCTCCTGCTGGCACCCGATGCTGACTGGGCCCTCCCATGAGCAATGCTGTTTCCAGGAGAGGCACCCTAGAGCCAGAGAGGCCAAGGGGCCGGGGGCACGGCCCCACCTGTCCCCTAACCAGGGGCAGAGGAGTCTAGACCCTTGCCATCAACACCTATGAAAGGTGGGGCTGGGCCCAGCCAGCAGCCCCAGCCCAGAGCCTCCTCTCTCCTTCCCCTGCAACTAAAGAGGACAGCTCCGCCTGAGGCCTCCCCTCCCCTGTCCCCCCACGCAGTGCTGACAGTTTGGTGAGGGGTTACACCCTGATGCACTTTGGGTTGTATACAGCCCACCCCCTTGAATGAGGGTTTCTGCCTGCTCCTTTTCCTGACCAATGCTCAGCCACCTAGAGCCATGGTGCAGCCGGAAGCCGCACAGGGGATCCAGGTGACCACGTGGGGAGACCGTCCAGGCCAGCAAGGCGTGAGTGCAGCTGACCAAAGGCCAAGGGGGCTCGGGCCCTGCCTGGTGCAGCACGCCATCCCTGCGCTCCATCAGGGAGGCCCTCTCCTCAGATGATGCCCCTCAGGGACTGACAGTGCTGTAGGCAGTGTCCACGCATAGACACAGGAACCTAGGGTGGAAACCAGGCGGCCAGCTCCAGGGAGGCACAGCTCTGTGGACCGTTCTGATTGGCCTGTCTGTCTTGACAACCAGCGAAATCCCTCGGGAATCCCAGCAGCGCAGGCTTGGCTTTTGCAATGGCTGCACCACATTACCACTGTGGGAATATCTGGGTTTTAAACCCGACCCCTCCACATTACTATCCCCTGTGACCCCCACAAATAAGGAAACTGTGGCAGGCAGGCCCTGTAGGAGCCTTAACCCCGCCCCCTTGGTCACCCCAGGGCACCCCCCAGCAGTGCCCATCCATACCAGTGGCTTGTTCTCCTCTGCTCCCAAAGGCGTCCGCCCGTGCAGGCGCTGCTGAAGGCCACATGTGGGGAAGGTGCTCATGCAGAGGAACGAACACCCCAGGAGTGACCCCCAGCCAAGAAGGGGCCAGAGCGGGTACATGGTTGCCCAGCTTCCTTACCCTCTGGGTACTGGCTCTAGGGTGTGCCCTTCACGGTCACTCCAAAGGTCCCCAGCAGGATGGAGCCTAGCTGCATGTAGCAGTGGCTGCTCCTTACCCCACCTCTGCCAGCCTCCCTCCCCGTCTGCCTCCTCTGGCACCTTGAGATCACCTCCCCAGTAAAACACTAGCACCCCTGGCTCTACTCAGGCTCTACTGGGGGAGAGCCCAGACTAAGACACGAAAGCCTCACCTCTGGACACACAACTAGTTAATGGCCCTGTGGCCACGTTGACGTGGCACTGCCCCTGACACTGGCCATCAGAGATTGAGGTTTGCACTCACAAAACCTGAGCTCAGCTCTGCCTCAGTGCGTGTGGGGAACCCTCATTCACTTGGTAGCTTTTGATCTTGTTGGGGGATTTTTTTGTTTGCTTGTTAATTTTTAATTTTGGCGGATACATAGTGGGTGTATGTATTTGTGGGGTACATGAGATATCTGGGTACGGGTATGCAATACATAATAATGACATCATGGAAAATTGGGTATCTCTCACCTCAAGCATTTATGCTGTGTGTTACAAAGAATCCAGTTACTCTCATTTAGTTATCTGCCCATGCACAATTAAATTATGATTGATTAGAGTTCCCCCGTTGTACTATCAAATACTAGATCTTATCAGGTCTTATTTCTTCTCATTTTTTTGGTAACCATTAACCACCCCCTACCATAGCTTTTTTTTTGAGAGAGAGAGTCTTACTCTTACAATTCTGCCTCAGCCTCCCAAGTAGCTGGGGTTACAGGTGCCCACCACCACTCCCAGCTAATTTTTGTATTTTTAGTAGAAGTGTGGATTTCACCATATAGGCCAAGCTGGTCTCGAACTTCTTACCTTGTGATCCGCCCAACTCAGCCTCCCAAAGGGCTGTGACTACAGGCATGAGCCACCTCTCCCGGCCTACCATAGTTTTTTGCCAGCAGCCAGGGAGGTTCCTGACACCCAGCCTGCTCTAGTTCCGTACACCAGGAGGTCTTCTGGGGGACCAGTGTATGACTTGGCACCCTGGTGAATGTTTAGCAGTGAATACCTCCTTCTTGAAGCTCAGCTCCCTGAAGGCAGTGTCTGCTGCTGTGGTCCCAGGTGTATCTCAGCCCTAGGATGGCGCCTGGCCTGTGGATGAGGCTCAGGGACTGTCTGTTGAACAAGTGAGTGAGTCAGTGAGTCAGTGAGTGAGTGACTGAGTGACTGACTGAGTGACTGACTGAGTGAGTGACTGAGTGA